AACAGGACATCCCCTGCCATGATCTGTATGTCCCTCATGATTTTAGATTTCTGATGTTTTTGGTAACTATTCCAAATGCTAATAGAAGAGAGTGCGTTTTTATCTAGCTGCTTGCCACGAACAACCTCTAACCTGAAACCCAAGAAGTTCGAAGTGATATACGTCACACGGATATGGGCACGAGAGTCTTCTTCTATTACGATTGCATCGCTTAATATTTAACAACATCTCCAGTATTGCCTAACGGGGAAAGATCCATGAAATTATCGCATTCTCTGCTTTTCAGTTGACGCATTTACAACTGCGAATCACAACAAAGTTTATTGATTTAATGAAGCTCGCAGTAAAACGCAGGGTTCGACCCGGAGAAAATGTCCGGTCACATGTTAACAAGTCTATAATTACGTTTGTTGCTATTTTATTTGTTTGTCCGAATCGAATAATTAATTACGTAACGTCATGTGAAACAGACATTATCGTAATACACCATCAATACATAGAGTCATGTATATGTAATTCAAGTTAGAAGAACATAAATTTTAAAAAATGACAGTTATAATGACGTACTCTGACTAAATGTCACGTGATCATGACACCTAAAAGTGATACATAAAAGTCGACCGATCTCTATTAATTGACTGGTAACATATTCACTTACAATATTGAAACATAAATTAAGCACTTAAACCCGTGAACCGTACCTGGATGCCAAGTTTTTCCATAATTCCGTAATTCTGTATTCGTTGACATTGTGGTCAACTTCAACTTGTTTTCACTATTCCTTGGTCTACCACTCAGACCCGGCCGGCCAAACAAGAGCATCTGCGGACTTTACCAAGATTTTCCCGGCCCAAAGTCACACCCAGTGAAGTGCATCCCGACCAGTGGCGTTGATCTTGCCCGGGCCGTTAAATCTGTGACATACCCACACAGGTTTTGGATCTACCCTTTTTGCTGTCGGATTTGAACTAGTTGAGTTCATTTACCGTGGGTCCGATGCAACAACCATGACACTACCTATAGTCGGTAAATCTCCCTTCCAATGCAGTCGCTGGGTGTGAATGAAATGTGTCAAAATTATATAAAACGAGATTCCAATTTCCAAGGCAGAATATAGTAAAATAACAGAGGCGGCGACAGGAAGTTGTGGGAAAAGGGATCTGCTCCGTCATTATCCCTCGCGGCGAAGGCGAGACCTTACTAGGGGGTCCGGGCGTGTTTTGAAATCTAGACCCTCTGAAAAGATATTTCTTGCATTTTGAGGGCCAAATTTTGCTAACACAAAGGGTTTCCGCTTCATGAGGGGGGTCGCCCGATACCATCGCCACTGAATTTAATAGGGAAAATCACCGATATCGCGGTATCTTTGCCCCCAACAAAACATCATGTGTCACACAAGTAAAACTTAACTAAATTATAGTAGCATGAATTATAGTAGCCAATAAGAACTATATATAACGGGTTTTCCAAAAATATATCAGCCATGCATTACATTGGCCCTGTTATTTATACACAATGCAGTTCTATACATGTCATAAGTTCTGTAGTTTCCAAACCATGATGGTTCGATGTATATTTGACTCAACAAGTACATTGAACTTTCATTCAGATCAATACAAATTATTCCATCAAAGTACATCCATTGTGGTATCATTGAGGCTCATCCATAGAGTAAGAAGCGTAGTATTCACTTAGCCACGCCTAGATATTACTAAAAGCCCACAGAAATGGTGGTATGACCGAATGGTGAACTTGGCGGCGTGAAAGCTTTCTATAGTTATACTAAATCTTTAGCGCTTTTGTCGAGACGGTAATCATGGTGCTGTTATTGTGAGTGACACGTCATACTCACCATTTGACAGTCAGTCCACCCTTTGTGGTGTCAACGAGGTCCGTCCACAAGAAGCACATTGACACAACCCCGCCCAAATGTTACCCGACCACCTACAGAAATGGTGGTATGACCGAATGGTGAACTTAATGGCGTCAAAGCTTTCTTATACTAAACCCTTAGAGCTGGTGATGTTATTGTGTGTGACACGTCATACTAAATGAACAGTTGGCAACAACTAATATCTAACAGAAAGAGGTCAAGTTGACTTGTTTTAAACAACTACAGAATATATCTCGATATTTACATTACAAATATGTTTTGTTAATTAAAAATGAAAAGCAGAAGAGAATATTAATTGTTATTATTGTACTGTATTTGATTGATGCGTTGGACTGATTTATCATGATATGGAAAAAATGTTCTTTCTTCACACACCTTGGTATTCGATGCAACAATGAAGTTCTCTAATACGCATGCGCATCGATTGTTTGTTACATACTGTAAAATGACTATTTTTCACTGGGTTTAAATTTCACTGATTTACCATTTCTGGCATATTCAGTGGGTTTTAAATTCACAGTTTCGTCATTTAGATAATGTGTTCTATGCTAAATTTTACATATTCACTGGGTTTTAATTTAGCGCATTTTCCAGTCAGCGAAATAAGCTAAATTAAAACCCAGTGAATAATTACCCCATTTACAGTACAATAACAATTACTGCGCATGCGTATTAGTGATTTTATTCACTAACGTATACTCATGTGATTCTTGTAAACGCCACAGTTTTAGCTTTTGATAAATCATATTCCGATTTGGTATTTTTCTATGAAATATCAATATTATTAATATATGTTTTCGTTTTTAATAGTGGCGGATCCATTGGGGGGGGGGGGGGTCCAAGCTTCGCTTAAAATTTACGAAGCGTAAATCGCAGAGAACTGAAGCTATGCGTAATCCTGATGATATAAATGATTGCCAGGACTAAATAGCAGAGTAACTACAGGCAGTAGATTATAAAAAATCAGGATATAGAAAATAATAATAAAACAAAATTTAATATTACTTCAACAGCATAATTAAGAATTATGATAAAACTGACACATTCTTCCTCAGAATGTTAATAAACAAATTAATAAATAATTATCACAATTATCACTGCCTGAAATAAAAATACCGCTGCAATGCCAATATACTAGTAATAATTAATAACATTATGACTTTTTGACAAGATCATAAACATTATGTCACAGCTATTTTAACATGACCACAGATATAAACTGTGATATTATAGTTACTCATATTATACATGTTATATAATTGCTTTGAACAGGTTTTTAAAATAATAAATGTACAAGTAAATATATAAATAAAAAATAAATACAAATAAAGTCAAAAAATAAACTTTCAAAATAAAACAAACATACACTCATATTGCCATACTCATCTTTTACTTTAACATGAAAGTATTTGTAACAAAAATAAAATATGTGTGATGCTATCACATAAGAATTCCAAGCCACAATAGGCCTACATAATAAAATCCAGTCTTCTTGCACTAGAAGTGGCAAACGAGTCAATCGCTTCATCTACAGTCCTGTTTCGGCGAACCTGGAGCATCAAAAGTGACTCATATGCATAATAATAGACCTATAATGTTTTAGATGTCTCTTGAAAATCTATTTTAGCGTACTTATACTAATAATAATTTATATTTCTTTGTTTCGTCATGCGTTAGAGGGGGGTGGGGCACCCGTCCCCTCTGGGTCCGCCACTTGTTCTAGTTTTAGCTATTTGAGATAATGTTGTTATTGTCCGGTGCTGTAAGTGGTTTAGTAGCTAATTTGGGGTAATTAGAAATAGATACAGAAATGTCATGAATTTGTTTTTGCGTATCTGTTAACCGACTTAATTAGTTGATTATTAGCGAATTGCTGTGTTATGTCTGTCATCGTTTAGGCCTATTTGAAGTTTTGGACGGAACTTGGCTCAGTGATTTGGAACTAATTACCAGATAACCGCCGCTATTCAGACTACTCATTTTGACAGTTGGTATCCATAGTTATTAATGTAGTGAACGATTAATCAAAAGATATGACGTATTCAGTACTTAGTTTGATTGGCTTTATGATTGAAGGTTACGCCTTAGAATCTTTTTACTGCATTGTAATTGGTTAGAGTTTTGAAAATGAATAAAGAGAGTTTGAGTTGGTCTTGGGGAACACAGCACGATAGACGCAGTCTAGGGCAGTCCTGGAGAGCTTTGGGGCGAGTGTTGACGCAGTCTAAAAGAGTCTTGGGTCAGCCTTGCGATAGTCTTGGGGATTTTTCCCCAGGGCGCTGTGTCTGATAGAGTGCTCGATTGACCGACTAAGACGAGAGCTGAAACGTATTTCTTTGTGTGTGTCTTATTTGACTGAAGAGCTTAAGTGACTTTCCTGACCCCGTACCTCATGGGGACGAGATAGAGAGACGAGACGAGTTTCCCCCCGGACACGTGTGGAGAACCCCGTGGAGAAAGTTTTACCCCTGATAGAAACCCACACGATGTCGTTAACTTTGGAACCCCATGCCCTCTGCATTGAGATAGTGGGTGATCTTGTTTTTATTCCTGCGTACTAGTAGTTGTAGGTGAACGGAATTACGACGACATGCAAATAACTGTTATCATGTTAACTGAATTTAGAATCAGTTTTATTTGTAAACTGAGAGGAAATTTGTTCTAGTGATATTATTAATAATAGTTATAAAAATACGAAATGAATAATATAGTAGTAGAATGAAATTACGAGAATCAAGTTCAGAGCATCATCCGGGTGACTAATTATGCGTTACAACTCACACGCAAAGGTCACCGATTCTCGGAAGGGGGAGAAGATGGGTGAGTGCTTTACTACCTAGATATGACATCAATGTACCGCCAGCCTAGTACCCCATACTCCTATCATTCCAAAACAATCACAATTCTAAACCCATTATAGACTAGATGTTATGTTGTATTTATTTATGTCCTAGTTATGGCAAAACGTATATCTGTTTTTATTGTTTCAGGGTTATGTGAAGGTAGATAGGTATATGTATTAGCTATATTAATTACTGTTTTTATGTTTTCAGCTCTACCCTGGTATGTTTGATCAGTCGCAGGTGAACTCTACACCTAACTAAATATGACTGTAACGTATTCACTCAAAGTGTCCCGGACAGGCACGTTTACCTTCCCACGTCTGCTGTTCATGTGGAAAGGTAGCGTGTATAAACTACTGTACAAAGAACTACTCATTTATCTCTTACTGTTTTACGCACTCTCTCTCACGTACCGGTTTGCATTGACCGGTGCGTACAAGGCGGCTTTTGAACTGGTGAGTAAACAAACGATTTCATCTTCGAGTGAGGGCGTTCTTTCACCCTAAACGAGTCATCATTGTCAAACTGAATTCGTATTCGGTTTAATGAGTTTGTGGTTTTGAAGACAATTCGAAAGATACTGGGATCAATTTATAACTATGAGTCAAACCAGCACTTTCGCAATAGTTTGCGAATAGTCCATTCCACTGAAGAGGCAAAACAAAAAAAATACGCAAAAGGGAAAAAAATATATTTGTTTCATAAATAATAAGATAACTTGAATAGGGTTTTCTTTTGATGTTTATTTTGTACTTGGAAAGGGTTATTTCTTGTAAATGTTTGTACGCGCCTTAGAAACTCACCCATGCTCTAATTCGAGTCCTTTAACTTGCACCCCTAAGCCATAAATGTATTTGCATACTAATTAAAGAAACAACTTTAGTGCAGTGATCCACTATTGCAGTGCTGCAGTTTGAATAATACAAAGTTGTATTGGCACTGCTATCATAAACAAGACAGTGCTTACTTCAACTCAATGCTTATAAGAAACACAGAATGGGAAAATCGTGGACAAAACTTCGCGATTCGCACACATTGGAAGGGATTACCCAAAATGCTCAACAAATTTGATTTGTTTGTAAAATTCTTACGTATTTTTATTATTTCAACAGACCTGTTCATTTTTCAAAGACTCACTACTTGACGCCATTCCTCTCAGTTTTCTGATGGGTTTCTACGTCAGCCTCGTTGTCAGTCGGTGGTGGGACAAGTATGTATGTATCCCCAACACGGACGAAATATGCCAAGTCTTTGCCACCTTCATCCGGGGTAGTGATGACGTCACGCGAATGCAGCGCCGAACACTCGTCCGCTGGATCACATTATCTTCGGCAATTGTGTATACGTCTGTGTCAGCACCAGTATTCAGGAGATTTCCTACTACCAAACACTTGGTGCAAGCAGGTAAGGGTTATACTTTTATGATTCTCGGGTGGAACGTTGAAATTGTTGGCAAAATTATTAGTGGATAATGCGTCATTTTAGAGCCGTTGTATTTCCCGTCAAGCAAACTATTTTTCTCTGTCAATTATTTCATTCCAATCCTGCCCTCATCGGCGAAAGCCTCACTATTTTAAGGTTTCATGTCCAAAACGAAAGTGTATCTAATACGCCTATAGAGGGCACATTGCGGCGTAAAAATGCAACTCACGTCGAGCCTTATCTGAAAACAGTGCACATCGCACATTATTCACGATACTTGGTCCCATTCTCTTGCCGTTGAATGCACTATTGAGACTCTGTCTTTCAGACGTCTTAATAATAGCAAATGCTATTGGACAGCATAACAAAAGAGCAGCCACGTTTCTGTACATGACTCACGGGGACAGAAAGGGAAAATCGAGATTAATTTATTCAGATTAAGGGACTGACTATTAGAAACCCTCGAATGCAGAAGTTTTATCTATTATGCACCAGTCAATTTCAATCTAGGCCCGGGACTTTGTGGGAATAGTACGCAAAACTGCAACACAATCCCCGACCAATTCCTATTCCCACTGAAACACACTGATATACATGGATGCTACAGTGGCACCGGGGTTTGTCGAGATTTGTCCGTGAATACGCCCCGAGTCTGATTTTGTTTCTCGCTCCATGATGCAGGAGTTTTCAAAACTGTATTACGATTATATTTCTCAATTTATTACTCGACGTGCAAACGACACACAGATCACACCGATCGGCACCGTGAATGTATAGTAATACTTCCTTTGAGCCCCTTCATCCATAACTCTAACAATAACCCAAACAAAGGCCATTCGTCCCGTATAATAAATGGCTATTTCGGCGAGGGAACGGCCCACAAAACAGTCTGTAATTAGTAAATCGTATCGTATGCTCGGCCTTATAAGCGTACATGTGCAAATTTCAGTGACATGGGTAGATAATGTAATATCATATACACATTAGTTATGTCCGCAGTCAATTAGAATACCGTATAGCAGTGTTATTTGGTCTCCCTGGAAACACACATATCGAGTAAGTCCAGCTTAAACACACTGTTAATAAATAAATAAATAAATAAATAAATAAATAAATAAATAAATAAATAAATAAATAAATAAATAAATAAATAAATAAATAAATAAATAAATAAATAAATAAATAAATAAATAAA